TGGGGGACCCCCCGGTGGGGCCCCCGGTGGGGGCCCCCACAAGTTCAGGTGTACGTACAACCCACGGTAGCAGGTTCGGGGCGCCCCCGGGTTTCTTTTAATTCAAAAGAAACAAAAATGGAAAAGAGACAAAAGGGAATAAAAGAATAAAAGCAGACAGAAGAATGAAAAGACAAAAGAGTTAAAAGAGGGACAAATAATAAGTGCAAAAGGAGAAAAAGAAAGAAAAGAAAAAGGGAAATGAAAAAGAAATAAATGACCAGAGACAAAAATAGAATTTGAAATAATAAAAAGATAAAATACTTTTATGGATTATTTGAAGACTCAACAAATAGAAAGGAGACACTCAAAAGAGGAGACTGGCAGCAGCTGCAGCCTGCTGCTGGAGACAACCGCCGCCAAACCCTAAAACCTAAACCCTCGGGGGGTTTGGGCTTAGCATTTACTCCTTTTGAAAAACCCTCGAGCCGCTCTCTCGCGCAAACGAAAAATCAGCACCAAGACATTGCAGGAATGGCAGCAGCAGCAGCAGCAGCAGCAGCAGCGGCAGCAAAATTAAAAACGAATTTAATTGGAAAGAAACAAATCGGGAGCAACCACGTCTAATTAGGGAGTTTGCCGAGCTGCTTCTGGCCCAGCAGCAGCAGCAGCAGCAGCTGCAGCAGCAGCAGCAGCAGCTGCAGCAGCTGGAGCAGCAGCAGCAGCAGCAGCACACAGCGCTGTGGTTTCTTGCCCCCGCAGCTGCAGCACAACGTACTCGCCCAGCAGCAGCAGCAGCAGCTGCTGCAGCTGCAGCAGGGTGAGCATTGAGAAGCAAAAATGTATTTTGTAATTATATTTCTAGTTTGCATGCATCGGATATAGTTTTGCTGCCCTCGTGGGGGAAGAATTCTTTTGAACTCCGCAATTGTGTTTATTTGTCCTTTTAAAAGTTCATTTGTTTGTTCTTTTGAATTAAAAAAGGTTTGAATTGAAATAAAATGTTTGAATTAAAATAAATGTTTTGCATTTATGTTCATTGAGAGCCCACAGATACACTTCAGTAGGGGCGCATGCACTGTATGTACACCTCGGCGCTTTGTGAATATTTTTTGTATGTACACCCGAAATGTTTTATAATATATATATATATTTAAATTGTGAAGAGCTTTTGAAATGTTTATAAGTGTTTATAAATGTTTATAAATATTTACAAATGTTTATAAACATTTATAAATGTTTATAAGTGTTTATAAATATTAATGTTTATAAATATTCGTCAATATTTATAAATGTTTGTGAATATTTATGAATATCTATAAATGTTTATAAATATTTATGAATATTTATAAATGTAAATACTTGTGGATATTCACAAATATTTACAAATATTTATAAATATTTTGTAAACATTTGTGAATATTTACGAGTAAACGGTGTTTATGTCATGAGTCTTTGCTGCTGCTCCTTGGAAATATATATATATATTATATATTACAGAAAGTAATTTTTTACATTTTGTAAATGCATACACTTTCGTTAAAGTCCAATCTATTTGAAGGCTCAGCGGCCCGCGCAACTTCGCGCATGCAAATAGCTTTTTAAATTTGCATTTAATCTTTTAAATGCATTTACAGATTTGAATATTCATGAAGTTATTTTATTATCCTAGGCGTGCAGCTGCTGCTTCTGCTGAATTGTCTATTTTATGTCCTTTATTTCAAAAAGATAAACAAATTTCTTTTGTTTCATTTCCCGCTTCAAACAAACGACCGGGTGTACGTACACCTGCGCTCGTTTGCAGTTCCAAGGAAAGCTGTTTTTTCGGACTTCCGCAAATCCGCTTTTTCCATATCATTTATTCTTTTTACTCTTTTTCGTATCAGCGGCAGCAAATACTCAGAAAGAAATAAAAATACTTTTCTGGTTTTGAATTTCAAGTTCAGATCGCTTTAAGATTTGCGAGAAGGTCAGAAAACAATAATTCCCCTTTGTTCCACTCAGCGGTTCTGGGAGCAAGAAGTCGCAAAGTTACTTAATCCGGACAACTCATGAAGTCAAAAACAGAAATAAATAAACCTTTTAGTGTTTTAAAGTCAAATATTTAATTTTAAAATAAAATCTGCGGCTCAAATTTGCAAAACTCGTCGGAATCTGAACGAGCGAATCGGGGTGTACAGACACTGGAAGCAAGAGAATAAATCGAGAATATTTTTTGGAGAATTAAATCATTATTTTAATGAAATTTAATTAATTGGATTTGATTGATTAATTAAATTTAACTAATTGATCAAATTGAATTAATTAAATGATTAAACCTTCGCGAAATTAATTTTTCTCTCGCGGCTTTCAACGCGAACCCGTCGCAGCCGAAACCGAACTTGAACAGTTCACGTTTTTCCGAAAAGGAAGACAGAAGTTCTTTCCTTTTTCACCAGCAGCAATTTAAAATGATTTTATTTTAAATTTAAAAGTTAAATTCAACAAATAAAGAAATAATAAAAGGAATTATTGCAGCTTTCCTCGTTTTTTCCGGTGGCCCACCAGCGGCTCTCGAGAGGTCGTCGAGACCGGCGAGCGATCCTCAAGAGTTCTTCTTTTATTTTCAGTCAAATTAAATGAAATATTATTTAATTTAAATATTTAATAAAAAGAAAAGAATTGAACATTTTTTGCTGCAAAAAGCCCTCAGACATTCCCAGCCTCCTTCCACTTCTGAGGCAGGCCGCGCTCCACACGGCGACAGCAGCAGCAGCAGCAGCAACTGCAGCAGCAACAGCAGCAGCGCCATCACTTTCACTTCAATGAGGAGCAGATCATCTACATTTTGAGCTGCCTGCTGCTTCCCTTCACTGACAACGAGGCTCCGAAGCAGCAGCAGCAGCGCAGCAGCAGCAGCAGCAGCAGCTACGCATGCAGAGCTGCAGCAGCACCAAAGCCCAATGCTGCCCCTCCAGCATAACAGCTAGGGGCCCCCCCCTAGGCTTTCAGAGCCTACAGCCTTTGGGGGCCCCACCGGGAGCTGGGGGGGGCCCACC